ATCCATCAGCAAATGAATGGATAAAGAAAATGTGGTATTTATACACAGTGGAGTACTATACTGCTATAAAGATGAATACTTCTGAGTCATTTGTAGGAAAATGGATGCACCATGAGACCATAACATTAACTGAAAGGCTAGGTGTGGTGGCGTATGCCTGTAGTCCGAGCACTTGGTAGGCTGAAGCAGGAGGATCATTGCAAGTTCTAGCCCAACCTGGGCTACAAAGTGAGTTCAAGGCCAGCCTAAACTGAAAGCAAGACCCTGTCTGAAAAAAGACCAACAACAACAACAATATATATATCTATATATATATATGTTAACTGAAGTAAATCAGACACACAAGCTTAATACTACATGACTTCTCTCAGATGAGAAACCCAAAGTATAAATAAGGAGCAAAAATTAAAGATAGAGGCTGGTTTGGAGGTGCATATTTGTAATCCTGGCATTCAGGAGGCTGACGCAGGAGGATTACTATAAGTTTGAGCCCAGCCTGGACTACATAGTGAGTTCAAGGCCACCCTGTACTACTTAGTGAGAACTTGTCTCCAAAAAAAAAAAAAAAAAAGGGAAAAAGAGACAGAGACAGAGACTGAAGAGAAAACAGGGAGACAGATTTTTTGTAAAAGGGAATGGGACCAGTAGATGGAAAAAGGAAGGAAGGGAGAAGAGAAGGGGAAGCAAAAAAAAACAAAAACAATGTGTTCTGTACGTGCATCAGTCCCCCTAGATGTGGTTCTTATATACTGCAAACATATGCTCATAAAGTCTGAAAAATTTAAAAGGAAAGACTGGGAATGTAGCTTATGTACAGAGCTTACTTCTGGGTCTAATCACCAGTATGGAAAAAAGTATTATTTGAAAACTGTTTAGTCTAAGGTGGCTTAAAAAAAAATAGTTAAGATTGAAAATCTTTACATTCTATTCTAGGACCACATGTAAATATTAGCCTACTGTAGAATAATTCTATACGTTGAAAGTCAACATAGTGTTTACATGGTTATGACTAAGACATTATTCACTCCTAAGCCTGCGGAACCTATTATGTGATTTCCTCTTTGTGATAGTGTCTTTTAAGTAGTTAAACCACACAGTCTCCCGGGCTGAGGTATGGCTCAGTGGTACAGGGCCTGCCTAACATGCACCAGCCCTGGGTTCAATCCCCAACCCACAAACAAATGCATAAATTACCTCCCATGCTTTGCATTCTTCTCATAGTGTGATTTCAATACTCTCTCCCCTTAAATCTGGGTGAGCCTGTGACGATGGCAGAGCAGTTGTTACTCACAAGGATAGGTCTTTAGGTCACCTGTCTCTGGCCTCTTCTATCAAGATGAAGCCCTTGGAACCTTGTGCTCTGGACTGGCTTGTGCCCTTCCCTCCTGACTTCATATGCTGAAGCTCTAGCAGAAGAGACACCAGAGAGCTCACCCTCTCTCTGCAGTAGGAAGCAGCCGGCTGCAGGGATGATCCCTCCCTGCCGGGAGCTGAACTGATCTTCACCAGTGGTAGGGAGCCTGTGGCTCACATGCAACAGCTAGCTGTTATCACTGAAAGCACAAAGAGGTTCACCATCACTGCTTTTGACCTTGACTCTCCAAATTCCAAAACTAGGAAATAGTTTTTCTTTTGATAAAGTTCTCTTTTGCTAAAACCACCCAGTTCATGGTGTCTTGTTATAACAGACCTGCCTGCCCCTTCTGTACTACCATGCCAACCAAGGTTGCTCAGCAGCTAGGATAGCCCTGGAGGCCATGGTCTCCTGCCCTAGCTGGTTGCCCACCTTTAGCCAGCACTAGAGGCAACTGGAGCACTGGGGTCACCTTGGAGCACAGCCTCTGGTGTGCCATCCACATCAGCATCTGTCCAGCTGCAGATTCATGAGCAAAATATATGGTGGTGTTGTAAGCAATGGAAGTTTGGATGTGAACAGATGTCTTTGTAAATGTCTTATTTTCCTGAGTACTACAAATCTGAACACATCTGCACTGGATTCTTGTGCTTGGCAAACATGCTGGGTTGATGGTCTTATCACCTCTCAGGGTTGAATGTGTCTCGTCTGGTCCTCCAATGCCAATGAGAGGCAACACCCTGATTCTCCAGGCTTGCAGACCCCTTCCTTCCAACCTCCCTTCCTCCCTCCTGTACTGGGAAGCGAACCCATGGCCTTCACACTGAGATACATCCCAAGCCCTTTTTATTCTTTAAAACAAGGTCTTGCCAAGTTGCTCAGGCTGGGCTGGAATTTGTGATCCTCCTGCACAACCTCTGAGTGCTGGGATTACAGGCATGCACCACCACACCCAGCTCCTTGCGTACATCTTTGTGTTTTCCTCCTCGGATGCTTTCAGGTTCTCTCATGGATCCCTCCCCTCCTGGCATGTCACCGCTGTGAGTTCTTTGCTATTCGTGGTGTGGGGTGCTCAGTGCCACCTTCCACCCCAAGGTGACAACTTCCAACTCTGGGTAGCATTCTGCTCTCAGAACTTTCTCCCCCCCCCCAAAAAAAGAACTTTCTTCCCCTCTGGAATTCCTTGATCACTAGAGTGATTTCCTTACCTTTATCTTCTCACTCATTTTTTTCCCTTAAAATAAGTCCCCATCATCTTTCCTAGCTCACAGGGTGGCCAAATTTACCCAAGAGGTCTTCACATAGCTTCAATCAGGTGTCAGCTGGGGCCAGGGCCATCCACAGCCCACCTGGGCTGGCCTCCAGCTGTCACACAGGCATCTGGCATGGGCACTGGCACTAAGTACAGTGCACCCCCTTTCACGGTTCTCATATGGTCAGCTGTGACTCCTCAGAGCTTGTGGTCTCTAAGTAGATTTTCCAGGGTGACTTCTCCAGCAGTGAGCATTCCAATACCCACTTACAAATAACTTTTTGGTTTTTTTGAGACAGGGTCTTGCTATGTTGTTTAGGCTAGACTTGAACTCACTATGTAGCCCAGGCTGGCCTCAACCTCTGGATGATCTTCCTGCCCTCCTCAGCAAGGGACCTGGAGGCTTCCTCTCCTGTTCCCGTCAAGCTTTGCCTGTAGACATTTGTGGTCCTAGCTCAGCCCTGAGCACCCACCCTTCCCTCTGTAGAACAATCCCAAGGGCTCAAGCCACCATCTCAGGCCTGAATGAAGCCTAGATCCTGAGCCAGGCCGTACCAGTGGACTGCATATCTCTCTGGGCTTTATTTCCTGCCAAACGGCAGGTAGCCTGTGACATGCAGTGCTCTGATGGGCAAACCCTGACTCCAGCTTCTGCTACTACTTTTGAGTATCACCTCTGGGCATGTGGCCATCACCAGGATGTCCTGCAATAGAGTATGCCCCAGGGCTCAGTGGGTGCATAGAGCCTCGCTATGCTATGTTCTGTGGCCTTGGGTGCACCCCACGTTCTCTAAATGTGTCCTTTGTGAGTTAAGTGTGGCTAACTGCTCCGCCTGCCTTGGAGGACACCTGAAGCATCCAAGTGACTGAACCTGGGGCCCCTATCCAGGGCAGCTAGTACAGAGCCCCAGAATGTGGGGGACTGCTGTCTCCTCTAGCAGTCCACCATTGGTCTGTGCCAACCATAAAAACAGCAATTTTCTGAGTACCTGAGAAGGGTCAGGCCCTTCATACACTTTATCAATCTTATCGATCAACAAGGAAAGTACTATCTTCATATTCCTAAAGAGAAGCCATAGAAAAACTAAGATTAAAAATAGAATTATTGCCTGGGCATGGTGGCACATCTTATAATCCCAGCACTCAGGAGGCTGAGGCTGGAGGATCAAGGCCAGCCTGGGCTACCTAGTAAGTTAGGGGTAGTCTAAACTACACAACAAGAGGTCTTATTTCAAAAAACAAAACCAAACCAACAAAAATTTAAGTTGGGCATGTGGCACAGGGCTGAAATCTCAGCACTCAGGAGGCTGAAGTGGAGGATCTCAGGCCAGCTGGGCTACGTATCTTGTTCAAGGCCAGCTTTAATCATTTAACAAGATCCTGTCTGAAAAAAAAACAAAAAGACCACAAAAAGACCACCAAAATAGCACGGTGTGGCAGTGTATACTTGTAATCCCAGCATGCTGGGAGGCTGAGGCATGGGGTTCTCAGCCCGGGCAATTTAGCTGGACACTGCCTCAAAAAAAAAGGGCCTGAGTTATTGCTTAGTTTGAAAGCCCTGGGTTCAATCCTCAGAACCGCAAAACCAAACCAAACCAAAAAAAAAAAAAAAGATGAAAAAATTTCCCAACCACCAAGCCAACAAAATTATTAGGGTGGACGAGGTGGAGAGCCAACGGCGCAAGGGGCCACCATGGATCACAGCCAGAGAGGTCCCCCCATAGTGGCCCCTGGGAAAATACACCACGCGCAGAGGAAGGCCGGAGCACTCGGAGGAGGGAAGGGGTCTCCTCGCGGATACGCGGAGCCGGGCCCGCAGCCCCCAGTCTCGCCCCTCTCCTGTGTGGCTCGCGCCGGGGACAGCGACCTCGTGTGGGGCTCAAACTTCCGCGCAGGGTCGGACTCGCACCTCCCTCGGCCTTGCCTCCTGCAGGAACCGACCTAGGGGTCGCCCTGAGTCTCAATGGCAGGCCCGGTCCTGGACCCACGACCACGCCTTTACAGGGAAACTGAGGCGAGAAGCGAAGCACTCGCCCGAGCAGGGCCCGTGCTGCGCGACTTCTGTAGAGCCTGCGAAGCTCCGCGAAGGCTGGGAGTCGCGCGAAGGTCCGGCCGGGACGCAGGGAGCGACCCTGACCGGCGGGCTCCGAGGAGCAGAGGAGGAAAGGCGCTCCGCGGCGACTACGCGTGCGCCCCCGCCCCTCCGCGAGGCCTGACCTGGCTGGCCCCCAGCCTTTCAGGAGCCGACTGGAGTCCCAGGGCGCCCAGGACGCACTTGCAGTCCCCCTCTGCCCGGCCCGCCTCGCGGCCCTATTGGACCCGAGGTCCAGCGCCCGCCGGGCCCGTGTTGCGCCTGCGCCCCGCCGCGAGGCCTGCCGGGAGCTGTAGTCCATCGGCTGCGGACTCCGAGTCCCAGAGAGCCACGCGCCCGCCACGACGCTGCTTCTCTGGTTGGGAGGCCCGGGCGTTCCGGTTGACCCAGGCTGCGGGTGGGATCCTCGCTGGCGTTGCGGAGCGGGCCGGAAGGCGGGGATGGAGCCGCCCGGAGGTGGGCGCGCCGCGGCGGGCCGGGC